GTTTTCCCTAGTTGAAAGGGCTTCCTTGTAATTCTTATTTGCACTTATCTTTAATTGCTTATTGGTTTTCTTTGAGGACTTGAATTTACAAAAGGTTTTGACCAATTCACCCCTCCTCTTAGTCCAATAATTTGTCACTATTCTCACCAGCTGCAGCAAGTTATAGGTATAAGTACTGAATTCCAATTCTATCCAAACTTAGCCTCTAAGCAATGTAATAGTCTTGTATATACCAGCTTTCTAGGACCACTAAGACGTGTCACATTCTTGAGCATAGCTGGAAAAGACCATACTGCCCTCAAAACAAATTTAACTCTACTCAGCATTGTGACAGACCGAGGCTGTATTCCTCATAATACAGGTCCAATCAAGACACTCAAGTACAATACAGGTACTTGAGCATATGTATATATATGAAATACAACTGAAAAAAGACCATAGTACCCCTGTGAGCAGCTGTAGCTAAAATTAAAGTGTTGAACCTTCATTGTCACAACAATTTTGATCAAAACAGGCTGAAGCATTGCAATACAATATTACAGACCACTGAGTACAATGTGATACAAGGTAATAAATGACAGTACAATCCCTGGACCATATTTCAACACATAATGCAGGTAGAAATCATACTTGAAGCCACTGAAACCATACTTTTTGACATTAAAAGGCAAGCATTCCTTAGGACCAACAATCTCTCCCTTTTGCCTTTAATGTCAAAAACCAATTAACCTTGAAATAAGATATTGAGATTGAGAACTTTCAGAGATAAAGATTCAGTAAATTAGAATAACCCAAATGCAAAAGGAATAGCCTTAAACTATCCTTATTTTAGTTCATTTCTCCCCCTTTTTGACATGGAAGGTCAAAAGGTGAGTAGGACCAATAATATAAGTTCAGAAGGGAGGAAGAGCAACCCTGAAAAGATCTCGAATGGTTGAAAATCTCTAAGGAAGAAAAGGTTTGGTCCAGATATCTACAAATTGATCTTCAATTAGCAAGTAAGTGATATCAATAAGGCCTTTTTGAACTTTGTCTCTGAGAAAGTAATACATGATATCAATGTGTTTGCTTTTCCAGTGTAGTGTGGGATTTTTGCTGATAGCAATAACACTTTGGTAGTCACAGAAAAGCTTTGGAGGTCCTGCAAATTGAAGTCCAAGGTCTGAGAGTGTATGTTTTATCCAAAGTAGTTGAGAGCCAACTTGTGAGGCGGCTATATACTCAGCTTCAGAGGTTGAGAGAGAGACAGTGTCCTATTTTTTACTTAGCCAAGAGACTACATTGGAACCAAGAACATAACAGCAACCACAGGTACTTTTTCTGTCAGGTAAAGATCCACCCCAATCAGCATCTAAAAAGGCTGCAATGGACATTGAGGGTGAGAAAGTGTAGTATAGACCATATAAGATGGTGCCCTTGACATATCTGAGAATTCTTTTGACGGCTTAAAGATGAGAAACCTTTGGACTACTTTGAAATCTAGCCACTAAACCTACTGAATACATTATATCAGGCCTTGAAATAGTAAGATACAACAAACTACCAAGATTAACTTATAAAGTGTTGAAGGAACAGCTTCAGTGGTGCACTCCAGTGAGAGTTTGGTATTAGGACATAGTGGTGTTGAGACAGCCTTACAATCATCCATTTTGAACTTTTTAAGTAGCTCAGAGACATACTTTTGCTGAGAGATGAAGATTCCAATGGATGTTTGAGTAATTTATAGGCCTAAAAAGTATCTGAGAGTCCCTAATAGTGACATTTCAAACCTTATCTTCATGAGATTAGTAAATTCTGAAGCTAGTGAGGTGTCTGAGCCATAAAACATGATATCATCAACATAGATTTGTAGAATTAGAAATTGTTCTTGATGAGTTTTTAGATAAAGATTATTATCAACCTTGCCTCTGTGAAATCCTTGTTCAACTAAGAACTGATGCAGCTTCTCATACCAAGCTCTGGGGGCTTGTTTTAGACCATACAAAGCCTTACTTAGTTTGTAAACATAAGAGGGAAACTCTGAATCTTCAAAGCCTTCAGGTTGTTCTAAGTAGACATCTTCTTTTAGATCTCCATTAAGAAAAGCAGACTTGACATCCATTTGGTATACTCTAACTTGTTTGTGACAGGCAAAAGATAAAAGCATTCTAATGGATTCCATTCTAGCAACTGGAGCAGAAGTTTCATCATAATCAATTCCAGCTTGCTGAGAATAACCTTTTACAAACCAACCTTGCCTTATTTCTTATTACTGATCCCTTCTCATCCATCTTATTTCTGTGAATCCACTTTAAACATATCATATTCTTGTCTTCAGGTCTGGGAACAAGTGTTTAGGTATCATTCTTGTGAATTTGATCAAGTTCCTCTTGCATGGCAGCTAACCAGTCTTTATTTTTCTGAGCTTCAAAATAGGACTTTGGTTCAATGGATGACAGCATAGCAAAGTGACTGTATTCTTCACCATCTTCAGCTTCTAAATCATTTAGCTTCTTTTTGTTTCTTGTTTGAACTCTATCTCGAGGTGAACCAATGATGTTCTCAGCTTGAACCTGCTTCTGCAGCACTGGATAAGTGATTTCTCTTGGATCTTCAGTTTTAGTAACTGAGGAACTGGTTTCATTTGAACCAAAAGTATTATCATAGTCTTCAAGAGATGTGGACTTAGGATTCTCATCAAATGTCACATGAATTGACTCAACCACCTTTGAAGATCTTAGATTATAACACCTGTAAGCCTTGTTTTTGGTATAATACCCCAAGAATATGCCTTCATCTACTTTTGAATCAAACTTGCCCAAGCTGTCAATGTGATTCAATATATAATATTTGCTGCCAAATATTTTGAAGTGGTGAATAGTTACAGGTCTTTCATACCACAATTCATAAGGTGTTTTGGTTGAGTTAGGTCTGAGAAGAACCCTATTTATGATGTGTACAACAGTACTCATAGCTTCAGCCTAAAAACCCTTTGCTAGACCTTTTTCCAACAGCATTGTTCTACCCATTTCTTGAACTGTCCTGTTCTTCCTTTCCACAACCCTATTCTATTGAGGAATAGCTACAGCTGAGAATTCCTTCTTAATACCCTTGTCATCACAATAATGCTCAAACTCTTTCATGATGAATTCAGAGCCAAAGTCAGACCTAAGTCTCTTCATAGTGCACCTTCTTTCATTTTCAACAAAATTGACAAACTTAATGAAATGTGTAATAGCCTTAGATTTTTCTTTCAAGAAGTAAACCCACACCATTCTACTAAAATCATCAATAAGAAGCATGAAGTACTTACTCCCACCCATGCTAGTAGTTCCAGTAGGACCACAGAGATCCATGTGTATCAGGTCAAGTGCTCTTGAGGTGTTGATTTCTTTTGAAAGAAATGAAATTTTGGTTTATTTTCCTTGTTTACAGGCTTTGTAAAGATGATCATCTTTAAAATTGAGTTCAGGAAGTCCTTTGACAGCTTTTAGCTTCAAAATCTTAGACAAATTTCTTGAATGAAGATGCCCTAGTCTCTTATGTTGTAGATTAGCTTCATCGTAGGTTGTCAAGTTGCATTAAGTAGCTTGGAATTCTTCAGTGATAGTATAACATTTCTTGATGATCTACAAACTGAGAAGAGAACCTATTTTGATTTAAGATCAACAACATTGCACTTTTCTTTGTCAAAACACAGAGTCCTCCCACTATCACATAACTGACTTACACCAAGAAGGTTGTGTTTGAGTCCTTCAACAAGTAAGACTTCTTAAATCTCAGATAATTCTTCAGACATGCTCACAGTACCTATACCAACAATTCTAGCTTTCTGATTGTCTCCAAAAATCACATCTCCACCATCAAATTATTTCAGAGTGATAAATTTAGAGCCATCACCTATCATGTGTCTTGAGTAGCCACTGTTAATATACCATCTGTCCACATTGTTACAAGCCTTGAAGGTTATATACACAAGAAAATTCACTGAGTTTAACTTCTTGGGAATCCATATCATCCTGAATTTCACAATAGAATCTTTGTTCTTGACCTTCTAAGCTTGAGCTATAACAGACTTCTTCATATACATTTTAGTTACTTTGAAGTTTTTTATAAATGTTGTAACAAAATCACTTCTATTTAGTCTTGAGGAATTGAAATTGTTGTCAAGCAAATCAAATTTTGATCTCAAGGGTTTTATAATAGGATACCTTGTATACACTTCACCAGTTGTGGCTTTAACAAATACAGAGTGAGTTTAATTAACCTTTGTGGCTAAATCACACACATAGCCAATTCCAGTCTTCCCAATTTGATTTATGGATTGCTTCCAGATCTCAGAAATCTTTAGGGATCTTTCTTCAAGAATGAGAGACAGTTCTTCTTTACACTTCTTGGTTGACCACTGAGTGTTGACTTGAGATTTCAATAGGCTTTGAAAAATAAAAGAAACTGAACACAGCATTGACAGATTAAGTTTGAAATGTTTAGTGAGAACTTGTTTGGACTTCAATAATTCTGAATTGAGCCTTTTATCTGAGACTTCTGATGATTACACTTCAATGCAAGCCTTTCACATTCTTCAAGAATTTCCTCAATCTCAGCGTCACTATCTTCTTCAACTTGAACTAGAATTTGTGGTGCTTCAAGAATAGCCATAAAGAGACATTCATCTTCTTGTGTCTCCTCAGGTTTATCTTCTTTAGTAGCTGCATCCCAGTCTGAGATAAGTGTTTTTCTACCAAATTTTCCTTTGTAGTTTCCACCCTCATTCTTCTTTTGACTTTGCCCCTTTGAGTTAGGACAATTAGATACAACATGACCAAGTTTACCACAACCATAACAGGTTAAATTTTGCAGCTGATACTACTTTTAAACCTGAACTTTCTGAATTTCTTAGCAAGGTAGGCTACCTCATCGTCTTCAAGATCATCTTCAAATTTTGTTTCAGTTTCTTCAACAACTTCCTTTGCTTTAAGATCAGTTCCTCTTCTATAAACAACTGGAACACCAATTTTCATTTAATAGGTAGTGAGAGAGGCGTGAAGCTCATCAATCTTCACCTGAGAAAGATCTTTGTCTTCGAGAATTGTCACTTTAGGATTGAATCTAGAAGTGGGTGACCTTAGTATCTTCTTACAAACATCAACATCCTTAATATCTTCACCAAGAGCTCTCATATTGTTGACAAGGTCATTGATCCTAAACATGTACTCAGCAACAGTTTCTCTTTCTTCCATTTTGCAGACCTCATACTGAACTTTGAATAGCTGTATCTTATTCTCCTTAATAACTTTATTTCCCTCATAAGCTGCCTGAAGAGAATCCCACATTTCCTTGGTCGTTTTATAATTTTTAACTCTGGTAAACTCTTGTTGCCTCAAGACACAAAAGAGAATATGTTTGGCCTTGCCATCATTAGCCACAGCCAATTTATCTTTAGCAGAGGGGTTATCAGGATTAAGAATCACAACACCATGTATGACAGCATGCCAAACATGATAGGACTGAGATATTAAGAAGGCTTCCATTCTAGATTTCTAAGAGTCATAGTTTGAACCTTCAAACCCTGGAGCTTTGTTGATAACTTGACCTTCATCTATTGCTGGAATCAACTGTAAGCTTACTAGAACCTCGCAATGCAGACCAAAGCTCTGATACCAATTGTTAGACCAAGAGGGGGGTGAATTGGTTAAAACTTTGCTTTATAAAACTTTCTCAAAACAACTAAACAAGCATTTAAAGAACAGATAACACAAGGTTTAGAAGGAAACCCTCTTAACTAGGGAAAACCTTAGTTCTTGGTCTCAGCCAATAAGCAATCCACTACTAGTTGTATGCATCTTGTTACACACTCAGTTGTCTCACTCTCTGCATACACCCAGGCACAAGAATAGACAGTAGTTTTCACAACCAATACACACACTAGTACACCACAGTGCATACAAGCACTCCTCTTGTCCTAAGCAACCATGCTTGGACCAAATAAGCTCTCATAGCTCATCACACACACCATTACAGATGTAGATTAATTCAAGAAGGTATTTACAACAACAAGAATAAGCTGGACAACTTTGAAATCCAATATACTGCCTCAAAACCACAATCTGCAATACTTAGGGTTTGTGGGGTAAAATTGGAAATTCCTCTCGATATCAATTCACCAGCACCTTACGCAGTCTTCTTTTACTGTTGTACTCATATTCATAGCTTTGCTTAATCAAACACAGCATGAGTATATCACAAAGTTCAATCATGGTCCTTGCTTTAGCACAGAACAACTTTAGCACAGAATAGTTTCAACACAAAATAGCTTCAGCACAGAATAGCTTCAGCACAAAATAACTTTAGCACAGAACAACTTCAGCCTTACGATTTGAATACTCAAAATCAAAGCAAACCATATTTCTATCATAAGCTCAACTTTAACAATCTTAATTCATCAAAATATACTTGATAGCAGCATAAATCATCATGAAATAGCTAAGTATAATCAAACAGCACTTGAATTCAAGATTAATTCAAAAGAACAAGCTTAACTAGTGATCACACTGTTCAAATTCATTTTCAGTATATTCTCAACACAAACACAGTCTGAGCAAGTGTAAAAAAATGAATTATACCTGTGTTAACCTTCATAATAGACCACAGCTGCTTGGAACACAAATTCACTGCTCAGCACAGCCCTTGCATCAGTAAATTTGATAGCAGCCTCATCTCAACAATTAGTACACACCCCATAGTTGATTCAATGAGTTTTTCTTGTATAGATCATCATCAAACAACAGAGAAAAACTTGTTTAACATAGTATGCTCGAGGGTTCTCAACTACAGCTCAATGTGCAATATATATTCAAGAGGCTTAAACCCTAAAAGTCACTATAATAGCATATTTATAGTGACACTGAATTACATGAGGCCTCACACACCAAGGATATACACCTGTCACCTCTAGCCAATGATTGAGAGAGCATATTTCAGATATTTTCAGAGCAATGCACCAATGCAGGCCTACCACCTCAGCTAATTTGTCACTTTTCTCACCAGCTGCAGCAGGTTACAGGTATGAGTACTGAATTCCAATTCTATCCAAACTTAGCCTCTAAGCAATGTAATATTCTTGCATATACGAGCTCTCTAGGACCACTGAGATTTGTCACATTCTTGAGCATAGCTGGAAAAAACCATATTGCCCTCAAAACAAATTTAACTTTACTCAGCACTGTGACAAACCTGAGGTTATATTCCTCAAAATATAGGTCGAATCGAAACACTCCAGTGCAATGCAGGTATCTCAGCATACGTATATATATGAAATACAACTAAGAAAAGACCGCAGTACCCCTGTGAGCACCTGTAGCTAAAACTGAAGTGCTGAACCTTCACTGTCACAGCAATTTTGATCAAAACAGGCTGAAGCATTGGGGATTGCAATTGCATTGGGTGATATGTAGAATTAAAGTTCTATTAACTGTATTCTTGTTCACATGCAAGTGTTAGCATGTTTATCTTCTCTTTGAAGTTGTTATGTAATGTTTAGTTTAACATGTTATTTTCAATTTTGGGTATGTAATGTGTGCCTAAGCACACCTTTTGATATTCATTTTGTATGTATAACATGAGGCTAAGGGCCATTAATTTTAAAGTTCACAAGTATGTTTTTAAATTTGTTTTGGATCATTTGGGATGCATGTATTGCCATAAACTTGTTTCTGCTTCATCGTTCGGCTGATTTCTTGTTTCTATTTTGTCGTTCGGGTAATTGTTTCCTTCTATTTCGTCGTTCGATAGTCAAAACGCCTAACCATGTAAGTCCGAACGTTTGACCCTTCCGTCAGAACGCTTGACCATGTAGGTCAAAATGCCTGACCATGTAAGTCCGAACGCTTAACCCTTCCATCAGAATGCTTGACCATGTAGGTCAGAACGTCTGACCATGTAAGTCCGAACGCTTGACCCTCCCTTTAAGACGCTTAACCATGTAGGTCAGAATGTTTGACCATGTAAGTCTGAACGCCTGACCATGTAGGTCAAAACGACCGACCTTGTATGAGTGCCGAACGGGTATTCAAAGTTGATGAGTGCCAAACGGGTGCTCAGTGTTGGTGAGTGCCGAACGGGTGCTCAGTGCTGATGAGTGCCGAACGAGCACTTGGTGCTTTGGCATTAGAAAAGCGTTCGTCCATGCCTTAGAACGTTTCTTTTCTTGCATTTTGATCATCTTTCGACTCCGCATTTCGGATCCGTTATCGGGTCATCTTTTGGTTATCACTGACGCACCGGGTTTATAAAACTTGGGCCGTCACTGGTCCATACCAACTGAAGATAATCTATGATATTTAATTGATTTCATGTGCTGTAACATACCATTGAAGAACCTTGATAGGCCATGCCTAGGGAAGATGGTTCATACCACAACCTAGTTTAGGTGGATGAACCATGTTAACCAAAGATGGGTTATGCTTAGTCCTGAAATGTATGATCTTCTTGACAATTTAGTGGTAGTTTTATGCTTCTACACATCATTTTATGTATATAATTATCTATTTCCAAGTTGAGTGCAATTTAACATGTTTATGAGGTTGAGGTGAAGTCAATTCCCTAGCCTTCTCTTTATAAGTTCAATCCATTTTAATCACATTATTTACTGTTTTATGAAATTTAAATTCATAGGTTAAGTGACAAACCAATCGAACTATCATATCTATTATCAAATTAGGAAGTAATTTTACAATTCTGTTTGCCATAAACTAGCAATCCTTGTGGTTCGACAACCCCCTACTATAGCATTAATCTGCAATGATAAATGTGTTATTGTTATAAGTGATATTTTTAAGTGATATACATTTGTGCACATCAGCATAAGATAAGATTTCACGACTTGCCAAAAATACCGTTAAAGTTCAAAAAGATTCTGACTTTTTGTCCATCTAATCAATCACATAAGTCATCTGTGCGATCAGTTGAAGTCAAATGATCGGACACATGCCTTATCTGTTCGGACAGTTGGAGCATCTGACCGGTTACATTACTTAAGTGATCGGTAGGATAAGATCCTATTTCCCCGCACTTTCAGGTTTCAAAAGCATCTAACCGATTACATTGAAGATCTGATCAATCGCATGAATAAATTACAATTTTTTAGACTCATTATTTTCATCATTCTATCAATAATATGAAGTGATCTGATCAATCACTTTATGTCATCTGTGCGGTAACATAGGTGAAGTGATCGGTCATATGATATTTTCCACATAATTAAAACTTCACTGTTTTGGGCATCCTATCGATAATATGAGGCAATCTGTTTGGTCACTTAGATTAATCTGAGCGATCACATTACTGAAGTGATGGGTCACATCAATCAAGATTTGACATTTTAGATAGGTATCTGATCGGTCACATTGTATATCTGATCGGTTAGTTCAACTGACGGAAATGTAGTTTACATGATGTATGAATGAATACAAGTTTTGAGCTTTAAACCAAAAGGCTATAAACTATTATGCCTTACATTAAATCTACTCTCACCATCTTTAAACTACCCCTGTTGATGAAATGAGGGCTTTCCATTTGCCATCCTATTTCTTGATCTTTCTAGCCTTGTTTTTTATTGGTGTTCCTTCTTTACTGCATCTTAAATGGAGATATGTTAAAAGCACTTTTTATCTTTGCTTGTAATCATCAAAACAGTAAGAGGTGAATTAAGGGCACTTGTGCCAACACCCATAAATACCTTACCACCTACAGGTTTATAGGTAACAAATCATTCTTTAAAAGGACACACATGAAAGGAACAAGCAGAATCAAGTATCCATTCCTTAACTTTTCCCTTATTACCAATGATTGATAATGTTTTATCATTATCACTCTTTTCTTTCGTATCTTCAAACACAACAATAGCAGGGAATGCACTCTCCTTTCTTTCTAGACAATACCATTGAATATGTAGCATCTTTTCTTTGACAAATGACACAAGGTTTCTTAAAGCTCCAAATCTTTTCTTCTCTTGAGCAATAAGAACTTGAGCCTGAGCATCACGGCTCTCTTCATCATTCAACTTTTCATTAAAGAACAAAGCACTCTTAACTTGTTCTATCGAGATGGTATATCTCACATAAAGCAAAGTATTGAATAGTTGTCGTCATGGCTCTGATACCAATTGTTAGAGTTTCACACACACAATTGGCAAATATAACAGAAAAATACACACACAAAAGCAAAATGAGATTTATGTTGTTTGGCAAATTGCCTATACAACGGGCGAAGAATAACTAACTTTACTTTAAAACTTGATCATACACTTTTTTTCCTTCTCACAATCTCAATTCACTTTTTCTCTCTACAATTTTCCCTCTCTACACCCATCTCTATTTATAGTCTTCAAAACCCATGAGCAGTTACAAAAAGGAGGCATGTGTTATAAGGTTTGGTTTTTATGGGAGGTTCATGTAATTTTGAAAATCATAGGGGATGTTTGTGCAATTATCACAAACCTGAAGAAAAGTCATAGTAATTTACTCTTATTCTT